ATAAATAACACCTAATTGGCTATCATGTTTATAATTCTAGTTGACTGGTCAAAAGTAATTCAGATATAGAGTCTTTCAATTGAATTTTGATCCATAGTCCCAAAATACCAAATTACCCAGTTAAATGTAAATTCAGATTTAGGGCATTATTTTGCTTTCCTTTTCATCTACGACCGTGGAGGGCCCTCCATATGAAGGGGAGCTTTCTCTGATTTTATTGAAGTTATCGTTAAAAGAAAAATGCTCCGCCTTCTATTTGGCATGAAAGCTCCCCTATTCACGTCTGAGACCCATTGGTGGAACTTATTTTTTCTTTTTAAAATATTATATATATATATATATATATTTGTGGTGAATATATTATAATTGTTGACCTGTCATAAAAAGTGATCTGTTACAAGCTGGAAGGGCCTAGAAGAGTTTGATGTAAATCAAAGAGGATTTGACGAAAGCAATTAGAAATGATTTAAGCACCCATAATTTAATGATGGATACAACATTGAGCAGAACTAAATGGTGAAATAAAAATAGGATTCATGTGGCTGACCCCTTAAAATTGGGAGAAAATTTAGATGATGATGATGATAGGATTATAGTTATTGGCTAGAATAGTTTTACTTTGTTATCTAGAAGGCATTTGTTCTTTCTTTTTTTTTAGCTTACTTTTGGTTATAGAGTATAGACCACAAGCAAGGTCAAAACTCAAAGGTATGGTAAAAAGTTGTGCATAGGCAATCTTAAGAGACATGAGAATATTTTTTTGGAAAACTGTGGAGAATTATTAGGACATTATTATATGTTTAATAAACCCTTGTAAAATCTTATAAATACATAAAGAATATTAATGCCAATGGTTTAATTGGCTCTTATATAAAAATATATGAAAATACATAATTAGCTTATATCATGAATAATATGTGAAAACACAAATTTTTATATTTTTTCATATGAAAATATACATACATAGAAGTACTCTAAACATTACTTGTTCAAAAGTGCAATTTATTCTTCTCTTTTTATATCAACTTATGCAATTACTTCTTATTTATTGATTAATTGAATTTTTTTAAAGGTTTTTTTTTTTTACTCCGGCAGCCCTTAAACTTTGCAAAAAAATCAATTTTACCTAAAGAATGAAAAAGGCTATTTTCACCTCAGGTTTTACTGAAAATGCCATTGGTAGGCAAAGACAGGCGCGGCGTTTGAATGACATCAACTATCTGTATCACAATGTTATGTGGCACTAATAAAGTTTGAAAAATGTCACTTTCAACCTTAATGTTTGAAAATGGGTAAATTATTCAGGCGTCTGATTAAATGACCCTAAAGTATTTAATTTAGTTAAATAAATTACACTAATTAAGAAGTAAATTAAAATAATTAAAAATATATAATTAATTAATTAAATTAAATAAATAAAGCTAATCAATCTAAATAAGTAAATTAAGCCAATTAAGAAAGGTTTTAAGAATTGACCTAAAAAGTATGATTGTTCGGCATGAATA